CACGGTCTCCGCGGCTCCAACGACAACGGCCTGCTTCTCCTCCGCACCTGCGCAGAACACCGCCTCATCCTGACGAACACGTTCTTCTGTCTGCCGGAGCGAGAGAAGGCCACCTGGAGGCATCCTCGGTCGCGTCAGTGGCACCTGCTGGACTATGTCCTCGTCCGGAGGCGAGATCAGCGGGACGTGCTGGTGACGAAGGCGATCGCGGGTGCTGACGGGTGGACCGACCATCGCCTCGTCATCTCGAAGATGCGTATTCGCCTACAGCCTCGCAGGAGACCACAAGGTAAGCGACCCCCAGGTAAGCTGAATGTTGCTTTGTTGTCTTTGCCTGCTCACCGTCTCCATTTCAGCAATGAGCTAGCTCAACGGCTAGACAACCTTCCTATCGCTGCCGCCGCCGACAACGCCGCCGCCGCTGTCGAGAAAGCCTCCGTGGAGAACCGCTGGTGTCAACTGCGAGACACGGTCCAGTCGACGGCGCTCGCCGTCCTCGGTCGCGCTCCCCGCCAACACCAGGACTGGTTCGACGACAACGACGCCGCCATCAGAAATCTGCTAGCTGAGAAGAACCGCCTACACAAAGCCTACGTAGATCATCCCACTGATGCCACCAAAGCTGTCTTCTACCGTAGTCGCCGCCAACTTCAGCAACGATTGCGCGAGATGCAGGACGCCTGGACTGCTCGCAAAGCTGAGGAGATCCAAGGGTACGCGGACCGCAACGAATGGAAGAACTTCTTCTCTGCGATCAAAGCTGCCTACGGTCCGCCGACGAAGGGCACCGCTCCTCTCCTCAACGAAGACGGCAACACTCTCCTGACTGAGAAGACGCAAATCCTGCAGCGATGGGCCGAGCATTTCCGAGGCGTCCTCAACCGCCCCTCCGTCATCTCCGACGCCGCCATCGAGCGTTTGCCGCAAGTGGAGACCAACTTGGACCTCGACCTCCCGCCATCTCTCCAGGAGACCATCAGGGCCGTGCAGCAGCTCTCCAGCGGGAAAGCACCCGGATCGGACGCGATCCCTGCTGAGGTCTACAAGCACGGAGGTCCCCAACTAATGGATCACCTGACTGCGCTCTTCCAAGAGATGTAGCGTCAAGGTGAAGTCCCGCAAGATTTCAAAGACGCAACCATCGTGCATCTCTACAAGCGCAAAGGGAATCGCCAAGTCTGCGACAATCACCGCGGCATCTCCCTGCTGAACATCGGCGGGAAGATCTTCGCTCGCATCCTGCTCAACCGCCTCAACATCCATCTGGAACAGGGCCTTCTACCGGAAAGCCAATACAGCTTCCGTCGTCATCGTGGGACCTCGGATATGATCTTCGCCGCCCGTCAACTTCAGGAGAAGTGTCAGGAGATGCGGACCCACCTGTACTCTACCTTCGTGGACCTGACGAAAGCCTTCGACACGGTGAATCGTGAAGGACTGTGGAAGATCATGCAGAAATTCGGCTGTCCGGAGCGGTACACTCAGATGGTGCGTCAGCTGCACGACGGTATGATGGCGCGAGTCACGGACAACGGAGCTGTCTCAGAGGCATTAGCAGTGACCAATGGAGTGAAGCAAGGCTGCGTACTGGCGCCAACCCTCTTAAGTCTTATGTTCTCTGCCATGCTGATGGACGCCTACCGCGACGAACGCCCCGGGATCCGCATCGCCTACAGGACGGACGGTCACCTAATGAATCAACGGCGGATGCACTTCAAATCGCGCGTATCCACAACCACCGTGCACGAACTCCTCTTCGCCGACGACTGCGCCCTGAACACCACCTCGGAAGAGGAGACGCAACGGAGCATGGACCTGTTCTCCGCCGCCTGCGAGAACTTCGGTCTGGTCATCAACACACAGAAGACGGTGGTGATGCACCAACCGCCACCCAACTCGGCCACAGCCTTCAACGCGCCGCCGCAAATCAGCGTGAATGGGACCCAACTGCAAGTGGTGGAGAACTTCTCATACCTGGGCAGCACTCTCTCCCGCAACACCAAGATCGACGACGAAGTCGCCAACAGGATCTCGAAAGCCAGTCAAGCCTTCGGTTGCCTCCAAAGCACAGTTTGGAATCGCCACGGTCTCCAACTGAGCACGAAGCTGAAGATGTACAAGGCCGTCATCCTGCCGACACTACTGTATGGAACGGAGACTTGGACGTTGTACGCAAAGCAGGCACGTCGTCTGAACCACATCCACCTCAGTTGTCTTCGTCGCATCCTGAGGCTGAACTGGGAGGATCGAATCCCCGACAATGATGTGCTGGAACGGACGGGAATCGTCAGCATCTACGCCATACTGAGGCAAATTCAGCTGCGCTGGAGCGGCCACCTTGTGCGCATGGACGACGAGCGACCACCCAAACGACTCTTGTACGGAGACGTCGCGACGGGTTCTCGCCGTCACGGAGGCCAGATTCGCCGTCACAAGAATACCCTGAAGTCCTCCCTGAAATGCCTGCAAATCAACGCCACCAACTGGGAGGAGCTCGCACTCGATCGACCGACCTGGAGGAGAACAGTGAAGACAGGCGCTGCGATCTACGAAGCCAACCGCATCGCTGCCGCCAAAGCGAAACGTGAAGCCCGCAAAATCACAACTTCGCCCAGTAAGCAACGTCGCCGCACAACCGTTTCCAACGTGTCCTCGATCTCAACAGACATTCCGGGCTAGAATCGGACTTGTTGGACATCATCGGATTAACTGCGCCTCTCGAACGGCACCAACCACCGTCCCCCCGCCTGCATCCTCCACGCCCACTGCTCCTCCTCCTCCTCCACCTCGCCCACTGCTCCTCCTCCTCCTCCTCGCCCACTACTCCTCCTCCTCCTCCTCCTCCTCCTACTCCTCCACGCCTACTGCTCCTCCT